GCGTGACTCCCGTCCCGATAAAGGGGTTGTGACCCCCGTAGTGAAATTAGTTTTCGTTTTATTAATTTAGCCATTTATATTATTCAGTTTAAAACCATAACTATGGTAAAGTTCCCAGTAAATTTCAAGGGTAGACAGAGCAGATCAAGTTATCTACCCTTTCCAAGGGTTTCGTGCCATCAGTATTTTGGTTGTTATGTAATTTATACTCTTGGATAAAGTAATTCTTCTTTTTTTCTTATTCTGTTACTACTTATGCTAAGTCCTATTTATGTTTCTATGCTACGTAGCGCAATAAAGAGCGGAAAAATCAGTGCTCGGTGAGACTTAAAGTTTGAGACATCTGCCTAAGTATTGTCGGTTAGAAGACTGCCTCGTAATTTTTTTTTTCAATTCTGTTATAATGTTAGCAATTGGTGTTCTCGACATGTTTTCTCGCTCAAACTTAATTTCATTCGCGAAATAAAATTCTGGTAGGTTTTTTGTTGTTTTCCTTGTTTTTTCTAAAAAATTTTTAGCAACTTAGTGACTATCTTCTATTTCTTAGTCACTTAGACTATTTCAGTAAATTTTTGCTTAGTTGAAATGGTTGAAAAGCCCCCCTTTTTGCTGCATTAATTTTCGGCCGGTCCTTTTATCAATTTTTGTCAAACCTGCGTGCCGTACCGTAGAAGGTGTTGAGAACAGTCAGTTTCATTCAGTTAGAAATTTATTTTGATGATCCAGTAAGCTGTTCGAAGTAATCATGTCGAGTATTTTAATGAGATTGATTCGAAAAAAAATTCTAGTAAAAACTGAAAAGGTGTAGACCTCTGAAAAGGTGTAGTCAATGTTACATATTAAAACAAACTATTTTCAACATAAATTAATTGATGTTGCGTTATTAAATGCGTCACATTTGGCAGATGATTTACTTTGAATCAATAACAGCATGATAGCTTTCACTAATCATTCTTATAATTAGTGCATCTCAAAGAGAGTAATCAGGTAAGTTCTATCGGAGTCCCAACCTTGGTTATTCCTCGCGTATCATTCTCAAATTCGATAGATCTTTCTGCAACTTTTTAAGCTGGCAAAACATCTGATACCGAAAGGCAGGAAATTCCGTCGATTAAATAACAAACCTGACATTGTAGTTGGGTTTTTTGATAACCTGGAAAATTAGTAGTACAACCACCCTTCTGAAAAATTTCAAAATAAAGTTAAAGAATTTTTTTAAAAGATATAACAGTCACTCGTCAGCTGCTGTTACTCGTGGCGTTGAAGGGGCAGAAACTAGTAACGTAAACGAACGGTTTTGAATATTTCTGTTTTCAGGCTAACTAACTGCTAAGGTTGCTTAAAGAATGATTTTAAATGAACATGTTAAAAACAAAACCGGGAGAAAATTTCAAAAAGGAAAATTATCAGATCTCAAAAAGATTTAACATTCACTTCTTCAAAAAGTGTACTTTTGTAATTGAAGAAACGAGTCCCAAGGATGTCCGAGAGTCTTGACAAAATAAACTTTCCATGTTTTTATTTATAGGGTACTTTTTTGTGAGCTGGAATGACGATTGACTTCAGGCAGAAACTTAACAGCAGAAAAAAATATGAACAATTAATTGAATTGGTTACGGCGCTTCAATTAAAATTCTTCAAACGCCGAGCTCTTTAGAAAATTGGGGACCATATCGAGATGAATTCAAAAAAATGTAATCAAGTTCTACTCCCCTCATACACTGCTACAGCCTGCAGGGTTTATGTTCCTATCAAAAAAATAATATGAAAAGCTGAAATTTTACGTATTTATTACTATGTGTTTAAAAAAGGAAACTTCGGAACAACCATCCTTTTTGTACCTTTTAACAAATTGGATTCAATTCAAAAGGCCCATAAAGTGAGTTTTACCTATGGGACGGTATCAATGGGACCAGTAAAAGTATTATAAGAAAAGACAACTATTTCCCTGCCACTTGATTTGGGGGGATGCGGTAACGTGATGACACTTAGGTGGTGGAAATTGAAATGGCTCCTTTTGCACTGAAATTCAGCAATGGAATAGAAATTTCCGCTGCCGCTGCTGAAAAGTCACTCAGGCTGCAGTATTGGGGGAACACGTCGGTTTGAAAAGTCCCGCTGAGCCACTTGAAATTTATTGGCGGCATTTGATGTGCATTTCAACGATACTAAAAACCAAATTATAGATAGGATAAGCATTAGCATCCCTCACGCAGTTATACCTCCTATTCCTCTGATATGGTGAATGGAGTTGCTGATATATCGCATCGCATCTAAAAAGCTATTTTATTTCAGCTGAGCCACTGAGAGCGATAAAAGCTAATCGCATCACTAATTTTCATACCACAATCCAATTGTTCTGCTAAATGTTTGTTTTTCATCAACCTGTGCCGATTTCTCAAGTGGGAGCATCAAATTAGTAAGTAGTCAACCTTCACCCAAGTTGAGGCTTAACTTTCATTTTAACTTGAACTGGTTGATGTTTTAGAATCGATTTTTTGTCAGTTTTTATAGTAGTTTAAATTTGTTTTATTCTAATCATTTATTTTCGATGAATTTAAAATTATTCTCATGGAAAAATCACATGCTTTAAAAGTAGTTTGTCAACCACATAAGCCATGTCTATTTTTTGGGAACAGTTAATTTTTCGGCGGCGTAATAATGCTAATGAACTTTTAAGCTTAAAGTTTCTAACAATGATTCTGCAAATTTTTCTAAAGATTTTTTGATTCATGGTAATTTTTTGTGTTTGGTTCAGTTTATTCATTCAAAGTTTTTATTATGGCCAAGATCATTTGCATGACACTTCCATTTTTTTTTCTTTTATTTAAACCAAAGGTATTGATTTTTTGTTGTTCTTCGAGTGAAAATTTTGGTAAGATTCTTGAGACTGTCATGCGACCAGCGTGCTGTTTTTGATACCGTTTAAGAGTGACTGCGCTGTATTTTTTAGGAATTTTTTTTTTTGTTTACACTTCTGATAAAAATGAAGTAAATATGTTTAGTCTTTTGGGTATTCGTCACATTTTGCAGAGATGCTAATTCACTTTTAAAAATGAATACTGAAAACATGATTGTTTCTGATTTATAAAAAAAACCTAATCGGTGCTCTAGTTTCATTGCTTCTTGAAATTTTTTGCGTACTTTCATGAAGCAAAATGCCTTTGTTTGAACATAGCATTCTTTTATATAACCACTCGCAGAAGAACGTCAAATAAATGCTTTTTGAACTGCTGCTTTGAATAAGGTCAATAAAAGCCTATCATACTGCAAGTTTTCTGTTAATTTCTAAAATTTGGATGGTATAGTTACACTTTTGAAGATTGGGTTAAACTACGGTGAAGGTGCCCTTTCTCCTTCATCTAGATAACTTAAATTACAAAAAAAAAATTGATAAAACCATCGAGTGACAAGAAAGTTTGGTTGGAAACTTTCTTTAGGACGGCCTACGGCAGAGTTTTTGCTCGGACAGCAAACAACAGCTGAAAAATTTCATTTTACTAGAGAAGTTTTTTCTGTCATTTGAAAACTCTTTGCCCTACAAAATAGTTTCATAGAAAATTCTTAATACCAAACTGACTTGATAAATACTTCAAATCGCGACAATAATGTGTCATTCGAGCTGGTTAGCATAGAAAAAATTGAGTAAGTGGCTTTCAATTTTTATTTTTTTTTTAGATTTTTGCAGAAAATAGCGGAACATATATGCTCGAGATAGTTTTTTCTTCAGATTACAAAAGACTGCGAATATGATCATTTTGTTGCTACGTAATGGATGCAATTATAAAATTTATCAAATTGATCAATTGGTAATAATTATTGTGAGCGATATATTCAGCTTTCTGTTCAAAAATTGTGTATATTGAACTGAGTTAAACTGATTGATCGGAATTTAACGTTACTGGAATCAACAATCATAATTTGAAATGGTATAAAATAAATCAAAGTTATACCTTTTTGTTGAAATTCATCGAAAGTCTTTGAGCAAAAATTAATCAGAAGGCAGTTTAAACAACTATTGGTTCGCATTGTTATGGTCATTTTCGGATTTCTAGTAACCTCCATGGTAGACTCGTTAATTAGTCAGACCTACTAACTCTAAATTGTTTCATTGTAACAGAATAATTAAGCAATTCAAGAACATCATTTTTTGAACTAGGAATAATTTTTTTATATTTCGAGATCATATGAGCTGTGAGGATCGATAAATCTCTTTTTAGCAAGCATTATCAAATCGGATTATAGACTTTTTTTCGGATTAACAACTAGTTTATCAGAATCAATTGAATCATCTATGATACCGCTATGCTGCTGACTTTTTCATTTTATGAGAACTCAACTTTAAGTACTGGCTACTATTTACATTCTTAATCTAGTGCTCAAACCAAGATATGTTTAATTAGATTTGATATTAATTTTAGGCTGACGATTTTTCGCGTTAATATTTGTCAACTTAAGCTCTGCCGGTTTAGTGTCCGAATGACGTAGACCACTTTGCATACGCTTCTTATATAATTATCGTCATTCTTATGCGGTCGTTACATGCTGTTTTTTCAATGCTCAAAATCAACCCCACTAGGATCTGTTTGAAAAACTTAAATAAATTTAAACATAAAAAAGTTTTTTTTTCATTTTCTGTTTCGTTGTTTTAGTTCCTTCAAAGTTCTTAGATAATAGGTAAAATCAAATGCGCTACTCTGCTCTTAGAATCATGAAAAACTCTGACTGAAAGAAAACTAAGTCTTTTCCGACTCCTAATGGAAGAAACAATAATATAGACCGAGAAGATAACTTTGCTGACTTCTCTGCTTGAGTTGACAACTTAATTCCTGAAATAAAATCTAGTTTCTCTAAAACTTCCCATTCAATGTTTTCCTTTTCTTGTCTACAGCCAAAGTACAGGCCAATGAAGTAGCACCGAAACTTACATGAAGTTCGAGTAGCTTGATTCAATTTGGTGTGCGGCGCTTCAGGCTTAATTTGTTAAACAAATCGACAAGGTAACTTTTGAAGATTATAAACAAACGGCAAAACAGAATCCAAATAATCTCCAAAATCTTCCTATATTATCTCCTAAACACATTTTGACGCCATTAGGTTACTTTGCGCACAGTGTGTTCCAATGCTTGACTCTTTGTAAAATTCAATGAATGTTTCCGAATTCATCGAACTCTTATGATAAACTTGATTTAATAAATTTTACAGCACAATGAATAAGCCAATGAAACTTTAATATAAATAAGCTGATGAACCTTCAAAAGTTTACTTTACACCCTAAATTGCCGGGCCTGCTTTGATTTCTATTGCCACCTGTCTGTATGCGGTAAAATTTAATTAACGGCTTGTCAAATGAATCTCTTTACAATGTCTTTCAACACTTATATTGTCTCTTGTAACTTTTCCATAAAAATAATGGAATGTGTTTTTAAAGACATCTAGACATATGCCGTTTCATGAACAATTATCTCTTTTCCTTGAAATACAATTTTTAGTGATGATCAGCCCTTGAAACCATCACAAATTTCATGAATTGGTCACTTGTTTGGTGATAGCAAATGAAAAAATTTTAGTGAATGACAAAAAACGTCAAAAACTGAAAAATTTTAGATTGCGCATGAGCAAACTATCTCACTGAAGCCTGCATGCAGTGTAAAAATAAGCAATCCAATGCTCACAAAAATGATGAACTTCATCATCATCAGATTATGAAAACCAAACCGTGAAATAGTTTTCAGTAATTACTAAAAAAACTATTATTTTTCTCCCAAATTTCAATAATGATAACATGCATTTTTAATGCCAATATGGCGTCTATTTATCTCGTCAGACTTATCAGCGAGTCGGGTGTTTGAGTTTTTACAGCAAGTTTATTGTTTATTTACATTTCATGAAACAGAAGAGCCTCTCTTAAGTGCTTCCTGTAGCTTACATCCAAATATCAATTTATTCAAACGTTCGATCAAACTTTGCTGGCTCTATGTTCATTTAATCACTATCATCATCACAATCAAGTTAGTAATAATCACAATCCAACTAAGAGCTCACAACATTGTAATTATTTGTTCTATTCTAAAACCAACTGGTACAAATCAACAACGTTGATTTTGAACATCACAAACATCTAGAAGGTATTGTTTGCATCTGAATCAGAAGTTTAAGCCCATATATTTGGCCCAAAATTTGAAATTGGTCTTCTTAATTTGAAACATAAATTTAGGACATCAACTAACACTACTATTCTTAGTTAATTGCATCAAGCCTCAATAGGTTTACTTTTTCCGTTACTTCCAAAAAGCGGTAGCTCCAAACTTCATAACGAGGTAAACTTTCTGAATCAGAATTTCAATCCACCTGTTTTTATGGCAAGCGAAAGTTCTCATTTAAATTCAGGGAATTATTAAAGCAAATGCAAGTACGAAGATTCTGCTTATATAAGGCATGAAATAATTAGACAAAACTGTGTACCATTTTCACCCTTTTGTACCTTTTTTCTTCGAAACTTCTATAGCTATTCGAAGGGACAGTTTTTGATTCATCATAAGGTCTTTTTTTTCAAAAAAACATCCGGTCCCTAAAACCCTCAATTTTTTGTTGTGATTGTTAAAATACGCGTGTTTTTTTTGGCAATTACCTATCTACCCGGGTTGACCTCCATAGACCAAAAATGCTAATCATACAATTCCATAAACTAAGTCTATGAAAAAATTAGTCATACAAGTTTTTTTGTGTGCACATGGTCGTACTGGATACACAAAAACTGATTTTTTTTCCATTTCTCAGATTAAGTTTTTCAAAAACGCTCAAAATGTCTATGTTTTTGTATGCCTTGATCAATTAAAAACTCAAAATTAAAAAAGTCACCTAAGACAAAAGTAACACAATTCAGTCCGATTCCGATGCATTGTAATTGGAACCTGATCTAGACTACATTTTATGATTGGATAATTTAGATATTTTACCAATGTAAAGTATTTAATATTAACCAATCATGATCCATCTAACTAACAACCCACTTATTTGTAAGTGCTGAAGTTACTTGTAATTTCAGCACCAGAGAGATTTGAATTTAACTTAGAAATTAGTTGGACTCTCCCGAGCACTTCAGCAGCCGCAATAAACCAGTATACCCTAGATCTATTGAGCCTAGCAGAGACTAGTTAAACAACCTGAGACTAGATAGTATAAGGGTAAGATTAGGATCGGTATTAGACTAAGAAGTTGCACGAATCTATCCGGCCGAAAATAAGATAGCGTGACGAGCAGACGGTGTACCCTATCCGAAATTACTCTATGAGTTATACCCATCGGTCCTAACTCATCTGGTGCGACCATAAGTCTCGAACAAGACCTTAATAGCTTAGAATTAACCAAAATAGATTAGAAATTAGACAAAAACATTTAAAAAATGTTATACGACAATAATTTAATCGAAATGTCTCTACGACTCAATAGATCAGAGCCAATATTCCGAACCATAACAGAACTACCCGGAATTGGAAGAAGACCTCGAACCAGAGACGACATACGACAAAGTAGAAACTTGCCATATAGTTATATGATAGTTCGGCCAAAGCCAGAACAAACTTTTGTATTTAGAATACTACTAGCAATGAATTTAGATTTTCATTTGCAAACATAAAATTTTGAAGTCAATCTTCAAAATCATTTCAGGCGCTAAACAAAATTATTAATATACAATAACGATTGATAAAAAGATCTCAGATCGTTTTCCTAAATTCTGCAGTAATATACAAAACATGTTTGAAAAATATTTATTGAAAAATAAAAAATAAAAATTAGTAGCATGACAATAAATGGTTAGTAATCATAAATCATCCTGTTGTTCCAGCTCCATCACCTAAAACATAACAGCAATCATAAACCCACTAATATCATCAAAACACTAAATCTTTCCTTTACACACATTTAAAATTTTATTAAAACTTAAATTCACTTAATTTTAAAACCAGATCATCAAGGCTTATCCTTGGATCTTAAATCATTTTCTACTTAATTAAATTTCAAATTTGATCATCAAGGCTTATCCTTGGATCAAACAGAACAACTTTGTTCTCCCCCACCCACTTAATTAGTGTCTAACGACCTCAAACGTCGATTCACTACCCAACCCTTTCTAAAGACCTAAGACTAATAGAAATTTTTAAACAAAAACTAATCATTCAAATTAGGATAAACAGTGAAGAACTTCGGTTATTCATCCTTCACTTGACCCCCCCTCTTACCAGACCCAGGATAAATCTTAGACTTAGTAAGTTTAAAATAGCATCTAACGAACTACTCGCGTTCTAATTATACCTGAACCTTGTGGATCGATTTACTATTCTCCAACCCTTGAACACAATCACTACCCCTAAGTAAGATTAAGTAAGTTAACACCTTAACTTATACTAGCCACGAGAAAGTAAAAAATCATTCTTCGGAATCGATATACTTTTCTCTCCAACCCTGAACAAATAGACCCAGGTTAAGCTAACCAAAAAATCGTAAGAACTAACAGTTTAAGAAAATAGAAATCATTTAACAACCTTTTGCATCCGTCATCCTAAACCTTATGTCATTTAAAAACCTAGGAAATAAACAAACAATCGTTTTACACAATTGTGAAATAGATAACAAAAAATACGACCTTGTAATCACACCTCATACACAAACAGTTGGATACATTCGAACAAAACGACAAACACTAAAAAGAAAAATAATAACGAAACAAAGACAAATAACACGAAAAAGATTTTCAAAAAATCGAAACGCATTTTCAGAATCAGAAACCAACAGTTTAGACGAACTTTACAAACTAAAAGAATCAATAGATAAAAATTGCCCACTTCACGATCAATTATATTTTTCTGACTCAGAAACAACTTCAAATTCATCAAAAAGAGGAAAAAGAAGAATAAAAAAGCAGTATAAACACAAACCAGTACATTTATACAATTGGAATCAACCAATTCGACACATTAATAATTACATATTAACAGTCATCGAACGAAAAAATGAGCTCAACGCACACCCCAGGTGAAGAAAGTCCAGATGATGATGAAATCTTCCCCTTTATAGTAGATGCAACCACTGATAGAGGACAGCATATATTTTGCAAAAATTTACTATTAAATTTATTTGAACCCGGAATCAGTCCATGTAAAACAGAGTTCCCAGATGTAAAAATCAAAAGACAAATCATAGACCACTACTTAAAAGATATATGCAACATAACACAACAGTATGGAATCTACTCCATAGAATTCACCTCACCAAACCATAATCATAGAAAATATACAATTCAAACAGACGATCTTGATTTAGAATTTTCAAAAGTTTTTTCAGAATATATAAAAAGCATCCAATATCATAACTCACAAAGAGCAAACTCCATATTCACCAATGAAGTTTTCGCAATAATATATAGTTATATTTCGATATTAGAAAACGAAATCCCAATAACAAATGTCTCACCGACAGAAACATCTAAACATTTAAGAGTACGACATGAAATCACACTACTCTCTAGTTATTTAAACATCATTAAAGAAAATTTCACGAAAGACGACGTTTCACAACATACAAAACACGACTTACAAAAAATTTTGGCATGGTTCATAATAGATTATTTCACACATAATATTGATTTAATTTCACAAGCAAGAAAAAATTTTAGACCCCAAAACTCGAACGATGATACCGCTATCACAGAACAATCAGATTATGTTTGGGACCCCGAATGGTCTCATCCCGCATTTATAAGCTTCCCACAATCAATCTCAAGTCAAGCAATAAGTACGATATCTTACATAAGAGATTATGTAAAAGTAATACCATTAACCATTGATGCAACACCATTAAACTATAATACATTTTTGCCCGATACACAAAATAATAGTTTAAACTCTACAGTCATACACAATGAAAACCTCAATGGAACTAGGAATCTTACTCAACAAGATATCCAGACACCATCACACTTCATAAATGAAGAAATTGTACACACAACAACTACACAACAAAGTATTTCACCAATACGCCCAAATTTAACAACACCAAGAAATACAAATCCTTCACAAACACAGGTAACCTTACAATCAACCGTTAAACCTTCGGTTGCCCCTAAATATTCACATATGGATTACCAAACATACAGACCCATGACAATACCATCAAAAACACGCAAAACATTCACTAGAAACAACTTTGCAGACCATAATTATAATTATACACATCCATCAAAAACATATAACCAACCACAAAGAAATTTTAACCAATATACAAGATCTCGAAATTGGGATAACCCAATGACCCAACATAATTCAATAAATTTCCAAACAAATCCTCCACAGGATCACAGTGAAAATTACCCATTTTTTCAACAAAATAAAAATAAAAAACAGACATCTTATCAAATGGATTATTTATCCTCAGATGATGATTTCTTACAACCAGATATATTTGCACCAAATACTCAAGAATATTGTAGACAAGGAATACAGAGAACACGTACAAATCATAGAAATTTTTCTCCACAACCAATAGATGCACAACATCAACAACCAATTCAACAACAAAATCTAATTAATACACAATCTTTTCAACCAATTCAACAACAAAATCCAATGACTGCACACTCGTATCAAGCATCACAAATGCAAAATGAAATACCACTCCCATATTATCTCCAACAACATGAAATAACAAGAAACAAACTTTCAAATTTTTCTCAAATGCCAAATGCAGCAGAATCATTACAAATGACAATGAATCCATACCTTATGGGTGGATCATCAATAACATCAAACAAACCTTTAATGGTTTTCACAGGAACAGACCCTGAATACTCTGTAGAAGATTATTTAAATGCAGTAACAGCAAACCTGATTTTAAATATTGGACCTGAACCAATTAATACGCCACTACATCAAAATTGGATACATCGACGCACAGCGTTAATACAAACAACCTTAGATGGCGCAGCCCAAAAATGGTTTTCAGTACTACCTCT